TTTGTTCAATCCCCAGCACCACATAAAAATAAACAAATAAAACAAACAAACAAAATAATAGGTATTGTGTCCATCTACAACTAAAAAAAATTTTAAAAAAACTTTTAAAAAAGGAAATATTCAAAAGAAACAAAATAGATGCTTTTAATTTATGAAATTAAATTAATTTACTCCTATGAGTGCCTACTGGAATTAAGTCCCTTTAATTATTTACTAGTCAAGTCAATAAATAGCTCTGTAAGTTAAAAAAGACATTATTAATAACACTATAAAGCAAATGACTGAGAAAGAAGTTTTACATTTATGACAAAGGTTGATATATACAATAAATAAAGCCATCAAATTGATAAGAAAAGGAATACTCTAAGAGGAAAAATGAAAAAAGGTTATCAACAGGCAAATTGTAAGGAAATATTAATGGTTAAAATACATGTAAAAAGAAAATTCACTGCTACTAGTAAACTATGAAATGAAAAACTTAAAATAACAAAAACAATAAAGATAATTTCTGAGGTTGGGCAGAGTATGAAAAAACTACTTTCACTTAGTCTGAGGGTGGAGAAAAGTGGGTATACCTTTCTGAAAAACCATTTGTCAGCTTTAAAAACATACCCCTAGGGCTGGGGTTGTGGCTCAGTGGCAGAGCACTTGCACATGTGAAGCACTGGGTTCAATCCTCACCACCACATAAAAGGACCTTGTGTCCATGTATGACTAAAACAAAATATTTTTTTTAAATCCCTTACCCCAGCAAAATTAATGAATGGAAAAAAGAGAGATATGCAAATACATATGCATAGAAGTAATTATCATATCATCTAGTTTAGTAACATACATATGGATATATTCTAAATACCTAACAAAACAGAGATTTTGTTAAGTCGTATGATGGAATGCATTTGTAGGAACATATTTTACATGGGGAAACAGAAGCACCTCAACTTAGGATGGGGTTACATCCTGATAAACCCAATCTTAAGGTGAAAATAATATTAAGTGCAAAATATGTTTAAAACTGGGTATGGTGGCACTATAGTGGAGGCTGAGGCAGGAAGATCACTTGAGCTGATAACATAAGGACACCTGTCTCAACAAAACAAATCAGTGTATTCAGAAATCCCTTTCAAGCTAAAACTTTCAAAGCACAAATATGATACACAAATACATTCTTATTTTAAAAAAATAAAAATAAAAAGGCCACAAGAAGGTTAGGGTTGTACAGCTTTCACATCAACAAGGCCAAGTTCAATCCCCAACACTATTTAAAAAAAAAAAAAAAGGCACAGAGCAACCACTATGGAAAGCAGTATGGAAATTCCTCAGAAAACTTGGAATGGAACACCATTTGACCCGGTTATCCCACTCTTGTTTTATACTCAAAGAATTTAAAATCAGCATACTATAGTGACACAGCCACATCAATGTTTAAAGCAGCTCAATTCACAATAGATAGGCTATGGAACTAACCTTCAACAGATGAATGGATAAAGAAAATATGGTATATATACACAATGGCATATTTCTCAGCCATAAAGAAGAATGATATTATGACATTTGCCGGAAAATGGATGGAACTGGAGACTAAGTGAAATAAGCCAATCTCAGATGTTCTCTCTGATATGTGGATGCTGACACACAATAAGTGGGAGCAGGATATAAGTTCATTAGATTATACAAAGGGAATGAAGAAAAGGGAGGGGGGACAGGAATAGGAAAGACTGCAGAAAGAATGTGACTTAACTTTCCTATGTACCTTTATGAATACACAACCAATGAAATGCCACATCATGTGTGTAACTGCAAAGGGATCCTAATTAATACAAGTTATACTCCATGTAGGCATAATATGTCAAAATATATTTGTTGTGTAAATCTAAAAGGAAAAAATTTACAAAAAAATTTAAAAAGCCACCGGATGGGCTGGGGTTGTGGCTCAGTACCCATAATAGAACCTATATGGGAAAACAAATTGAATAATTACAAATTTCTCATCTGAAACCCTGGAAGCCATAAAGAAGATATGTTTCCAGCACGTGAAAAGTGCTGGAAAAACTATCAGTCTAGAATTCTATATCTAACAAATATTCTTCAAGAATGAGGACAAAATAAAGACATTCTCAGAAAAACCAAGAGAATTTGTCATCCTCATTCCTAAAAGAATGGCCAAAAAAACCCTCTCTAAGCAAGAAGAAAATAATGAAAGGAGCAATCTTGAAAAACAAGAAGAAATAACAATTGAAAGGGCAAAAATATGGGCAAATACAATAAACTTTCCTTCTCATGTTTTCTAAATTATGTTTGATGATGAAAGCAAAATTATAACACTATCTAATGTGGTTTTCAATGAATGTAGAGGAAATACTGAAAGCATTACACACAGCAGAGGGTAAAGAGACAAAGCAACATAAGATTTTTCAAATTTTACTTAAAGTGGGAAAATGTTCAGTAGGGTAAGAATAGAAAAGACAGATCTCACAATGTACTGAGAAGCCACATATTTTCCCTTTCCTATTCAATCCTGACTCTAAATCTGACTCTTTATGAAGAAGTCCACTAATCACATGTACTAAGTTCACCAATGACTATTTTCTTGCTCGTTGAATGTTTTCTCGTTAAAATATTTCCTCTCCTATTGTTAGGAGAACCATCTAGTAATTATCCTACATTTACGTACATTTTTTCTCGGTGTCCTAGATTTCTAAGCCTATTGACTCAGAACCCCTGGAATTGAGTTCCAGGGTAATGTCTTTCAACAAACGACTCCAAGTGATTCAAGAGTGAGAATTACTGTCTTTTTCCCCCCTCTCCCTTCCCCTACCCCACCCTTGAGAATTACTGTCTTAAATGTTGACACCCAAGATTCTGTATCGATTCTCTTCCATTTCCACCTGGTTAAACATGTATAATTAAAACCAGACTCAAAACTTCCACCATTTGCTCTTATCAACAAAACATGTAAACTGCACCCTCCCCCACACACCTGTACTCCTGTCTGGCACAAACAGTATTTGTTTGAGTGCACATGATGACTCTCAATCCTGTTTTTAATTAATCAGGATCTTTTTTTAAGGCACCATATCTGCATGTGCAGCTATCCAATGGACATGTGCATCTGGATGTCAAAATTTTACCCTGAATCAAGTTCAGCTCACAGTAAGAGAAAAAGCTAAAAGAATAGTGGTTTACATAACGTAACAGTTTATTCCTCTCCATTAACAGTCCAGAGAAGAGCATTATAGACTAATACGAAAGTTCTGCTGCATGAAGTCCTCAGGGACTTCCCATTTTCTATTTTATAGTGCCTAGGACATGGTCCCCACCTCATGATCTAGCCAAAACCATATTCTTTAATTCCTGAAAGTAGGACACACTATCTGTACTTAGCAAAAATCATACTTGTAGGTTTGACTGCAAAAGTAGTCATTACATTAGTCAACCAAACTGTATTACTAAGGGGAAAAAAGTACTGGAGGACAATAGCATTCTCAATCACACATTCCAAATTCACCTTGTCACAAACTAAACTCCTCAGTTTTTAGGATAAACAAATTTTACACACTGTAACGGGTCCACCCTACTTCTATTTACATTTGGCCTAGCAAATTCCTTCTCACGTCATGTGTCCTTTTGTGAAGCATTCCTTTATACAACCACCTTTTCCTCTAGCACAGATTAGAAGTCTTTGGGTCCCCTTCACACCTAGCACACATCTCTATTCTTGAATTGCTAATTCTATATTATTTTTTACACACCAGTCCCTCCTGAGATTCATCTCTCTTCCACTATAAGGTAAACTTCTTGAGGGGATACACTAGGCCTTAGTTATCTTTGCAGCATATGAACACGGATCTGTATTGTACTAGATTTTACAAATTCAACCACTAGTATCTACTTTCTAGAAATATGGAAGCAAGGAAATGATAAAAGAGGTACCTAATAAAAAAGAACATCAAGGCATGCAGTATTGTAGTATAATAACATGTGACTCAAATTACAGAAAGTCTTACTAGCAGTTACAAGAATAGTCACCACTCTCCTCTACACATTTTTCCTATTCATTTCTACATCTAGCTTTTTTCTGGTATAAATACATTTAGTGGGGTACATTTTAATTATATTCACATTTAATTCCACTAATAGCTTCATATTAAACTTAGGCCAGTGTTTGAGTTCTATGCTTAGATCTCACTTAAATCTCAGCAGTTATTCCATCACAGAAGACCAATTTAGGCATGTCTAAAGGCCCTTGAAGAGTCAACAAGAAGCTTCAATATTTTGAGGACTTTTCTCTGAAAGAAAATATCTAGATGGTCACAGTATTCAACTTATTCAATTTAGCGTTACAGCCAATAAATAGTACCATAACTAAAATAACATAGAAATCTATAACAACTTCTAAAGAGTTATAAATTTTCACTTATGTGTAGATTTTACTTAAAACTATCGAAGTATCAATTTAACTTGAAAAACAGAATCAAAACCATTCAAAATGTGTTTTAAATAGCTGTTATGCCCAACTTTTAGAAAAATTGCCTTTGAAATATGAACAATGGAATATACCATGTAAAAAGATTCCTTAGGGCACTAGGAATCAAACCCAGGGCCTTGTGCATGCTTAACACATTCTACCACAGAGCTATATTCCCAGTTCTAGTGTATAAGTTTTAATTGAATAGCTATTATAAAAGTAGTTGAACCACCCCCCACCCTTGACCAATGCTTATAGCAACAAGGCTTCAGTGGTCCAAATGAAATTTTTAGCTTGCCCATATTCTCCAGTGTGCACTGGAACTAAGACTATGATGTTGGGGCAGCCCTCAAGAATTCTAATCATAGCCTTTCTTGACTTCTAGTTCTCTTGCTGTTCTGGCTGCCACTCTAGTTAGACATGAAGTCCTAATATCACCAATGCTAACCACAATGCCACAAAAGCAGTTAGAACTAACTTCAATAAAAATGAATGAATTAATAAATGAATATGTAGTTATGTATTAGCTTACCACTATTTCCTGGTGGTTGCAATACATCTCCTGTTAGGCAGCACCACCCAACTGGAAAAATATCTCGACAATCATACTTGCACCAATAATCAAATGCTCCACTCCATCCATCAAACGTGATATGAACTTCGTCTCCTCTAACATTTCCAATGGTTGCAGGACAGATCAAGTATGGGTTTTTTCTGTCAATAGCTTCCAGTTTCATCCCCACTTTAAAATTATTTATGGGTGGCTTTGGTGGTTCCTACCAAAACATTTTTTTTTAAGTTTTCATTGTTAAGATGTATTAAAAACCATTTGCTCAAGTATATTCTCTTATAATACTTAGCACACAAAAAGTAAGCTCTATATTTATCAATTAATATGGGAAGAAATGCATTCTCACAGATCTGAAACTATGCTACACTTGCTTCCTTGATATTCCTCAAACTTTTCAGACAGCACCTGCATGACAGTCTTAACCATGGATATTCTCTCTGCTTGAGCACTTCTTCTGTAGATATTTGCTTGGTTAACAATCAGATCCTTCAGGTTTCTGTTCACATATCACTTTTCATTTGAAACTTGCCCTAATTCTTTACTTTACTTAAAATTGTACAAAACCCCTTCCCCCATATGGCTCTCTGTATCCCTTCATACACACTCTCTCCCCTCCCCTCTTTTTGCATAGCACATATCATTTCTTACATGTGTCCATGTTTTGCTTTTTACGTTGTGTTTATTGACCGTCTCTCTTTACTAGCATACAAGTATCATAAGGGTAGGTATTTTGGGTTGCATATGAGGTGTCCACCAAAAGCTTTCATGTTAATGCAATATTGTTTGGAGATAAAATGATAGGACTTTGAGAGAAGTAACCTAATCAGTCCATCCTAGTTTCAGAATGACTGGGTGTTAACAGTAGAAAGGTGGGGTGTGGCTGGAAGAGGAGTGTCACTGTGGGCCTGCCTGAAAAGATACATCTTCTCTGTGGCCCCCTTCCTTCTTGGGCCAGAAAACAACTTTAATTGCCAATCCAGTAATTTAAAAAGTATTTTTGCTTTTTCATATCAGAGAAGACAAAGCATTAAGCATTCCCATTAACACAATAAAAATATAAGCTGTTGGAAGTTTTTTATGACACTTACCTGCTTAAAGAAAGTTGCAGGTGCCATTTCAGATCCTGTCAGTGTTCGCAAAAGGAACATCGGCCATGATGATACATTCATCTGGTAGCCTATTTTAAAAATGAGAAATCATGAAAAAAGTCCCCCTGTGATACTATAGCAAGTTAGTATTTAAAAAAAAAAACATGTTTCACTCATCATTCTTTTCCAGAGAATGACCTTCTTATCTAAGGACATAGGATACAGGCAAGAGGAGCAGATGCACCCTCCTCTCATTGTTACTATCCCCACTGTACTGTCTGGCAACAATGCTACAGTGGGGTTAGCAACTTTTTCTTGTTGGTACTGGGGATGAACGCAGGAGTGCTTTTACAACTAAGCTAAGTCCCCAGCTTTTGATTACAGGTGTGTACCACCACATGCAGCAAAACTCTATTTTAGAGAAGCTACTGGCTATGGTTTACCAATGAACATGTATATCTGTTGGGGATCCAAGACAGAGACTGGAAGAAGTTCCATTTTACCAATAACAACGCAAGCACAGGTAAAGATTTCAAAAGACTTTTACCCGCCTTTTTCCCTCAAAGTCCCTGGTTTCTTCTTTTCAGAAAGACAGTTTTCTGTTGAACTCAGCAAATGTACATATACAGCAGTACATTTCATTGTATATAGATTTAATATACAAAAAACCCAATGCTAATTCTAGTTAATTTAAGAATCTAAGAGAAGTATACTAATATCAATAACTTAAGCTGAATTGTATTAAAAAATAAGAGGGATTGATGAACTAACAAAAGGACAGAAAATGGATAGATAAGTAATAAAGCAAGTATGATAAAATGATAATGGTAGAATCTAAGTAGTGGGTATGGGGGTGTTCACTGTAAAATTCTTCTTTTATGTATACTTGAAATTTTTCATAAAATGTTAAGAAAAAAGACTGCTCTTGTTTCAGCAATCTAAACATGATCTTAGAATTCGTATCAGAAGCTATCAAAATAGACTTGATAGTTGTCTTTGCTAGAGATCTCAACATCTGGCACAGGCAGCAGGAAGACAAGAGGGGGTGCTAATTTTACCATTTTCTCAGGACAATCTGTTTCATACAACACCTGCCTATGCCCATACCAGAACTGGAAAGAAGTTAGCACGCATCCTTGATGGATAAATGCATTAAGATAGACAGGCATATGAATCACTAATAATGGATGCATCCATTATTACATGCAAGAAAGTTAAGGTAGAAAAAGCCATCTTCTAATAATCCTGTACAAAAACCCTCCAACTAAGGAAAACAACTGCCATTAGGAAAAAATGAGTGTATGTACTTGATTTGTTACTTACTCTTATAATAAATCAACATTACTGATATCTAATAAATAGCATTCTCAGAAGAATATTCCATAACCATCATTCTCTGGTCCTTCTGCTTAACTTTTATCTCATCTTATCATGCACCAAGATTCTCCTAAAGTTTTAAATCATCTAAAGTCATACACAAACTAAAAAAAAAACACCAAAAAACCCCACCCCAAAACAAAAACAGATTAAAGCACATATAAAAAGTTTTAAAACAGATAAAACTAATCTATAATATTAGGAAGTCTGGATGCTAGTTATACTTGGGAAGGGGTAGCTTATAACTTGGGGAATCAGCAGAAGTGGGCTTCTAGGGTTTTCTATTTCCTGATATGAGTGGTAGTTATACAGGTATGTTTGTTATAAGTTGTATACTTAGAATTTATACACTTTGGTTTGTATGTCAAAAGGAAAAAAATCTTAATAATAACCTTTAAGATTTAAATAAACAAAGTCTGGGGTTGTGGCTCATTGGTAGCATTCTTGCCTAGCATGTGTGAGGCACTGGGTTTGATCCTCAGTGCCACATAAAAATAAATAAATAAGGTCTGGGGTGGTGGCTCAGTGGTAGAGTGCTCACCTAGCATGCGTGAGATGCTGGGTTTGATCCTCAGCACCACATAAAAATAAACTAAAGATATTGTGTCCAACAGAACTAAAAAAAAAATGTTTTTTAAAAATAAATAAAGGCACTGTGTTCCATCTATAACTAAGAATTTTAAAAAGCTTTAAGTAAACAAAAATTCAAAAAGGAAAACTAAATAAGTTGTTATATTAAAATGAAAATTAAACTATTCAAAAGTGCATATAGACCAAACTGACACAAATTGTGAATTTCTATATACACTGCCAAAATAGATAGTAATCTATAAGTATTGTTTGTATTTAAAAAAAATATGATAAGTAATTTGAAAAAAGAGAATGACCATAAATCTGGTTATGCATTTGAAATACTGACCATTGTAATAGCTTTATTTTCTTTAAATAAAATGCAAAAATAGCTGGGCATGGTGGCACACGCCTGTAATCCCAGCAGCTTCAGAGGCTGAGGCAGGAGGATCTAGAGTTCAAAGCCAGTCTCAGGAAAAGTCAGGCACTAAGTAACTCAGTGAGACCCTGTCTCTAAATAAAATACAAAATAGGGCTGGGGGTCGTGGCTCAGTGGTAGAGTGTCCCTGAGTTTGATCCCTAGTACCCAAAAAATGTGATATGAAGAAAAGGCAAAAAATGGGCTGGGGTTGTGGCTCAGTGGTAAAGTGCTTGACTTGCACGCATGAAGCCCTGGGCTCAATCCTCAGCGCCATGTAGAAATAAATAAATAAAAATAAAGATATTGTGTCCATCTACCACTAAAAAAATTTTTTTTAAAAAAAGGAAAAGAAAAAAAAACCCACATATACCCTAAATCATCTTATAACATATCTCTGACTAGTTTTTTTAAATATTTTAGTGCTGAGGATATAGTTCAGAAGGAAAGTGTTTGCTTAGTAAGTCTGAGGCCCTGGGTTTGATTCCCAGCACCACCCAAACATAAAAAAATATATATTTTTAAATTTTTTAGATGTTGATGGACCTTTATTTTATTCATTTATTTATTTATATGCGGTGCTGAGAATCGAACCCAGTGCCTCACACATGCTAGGCAAATGCTCTACCAGTGAGCCACAACCCCAGCTCAATAAGTATAAATCTTAAACCAATTTTTTGGTGGGAAGGGGCAGGGTGCTAGGGATTGAACCAAGAACTTTGTACATGCTAAGCACAGATTCAACCACTGAACAATACCTGGAAGCCTAAATCATATTAGTTATATTAACAATTACAATAAGGCATTATGAAAATATACTGCTAAAAGAGTAACCACTATTGGGCACATTGGTGCATGCCTATAAATCCAGAAACTTGGGAAGGTGAAGCAGGAGGATCACAAGTTCAAGGATAGCCTTGGAAACTTAGGCTTGGGAACTTAATGAAACCCTCTCAAAATTTAAAAAAAATGAATAAATAAATAAATAAAAGAACTGGGGATATACTCCAGTGGTACACTGCCCTTGGGTTCAATTTCCTGTATTGCAAAAAAATAAAAATAAAAACCAATAACTACCAATCACTCAGAATGTAGAATAATCAAACTAAATCATTTATTTTCCACATAGTATCATGGTGTGCTTAAATTTAAAAATTTTTGCCCTAAGTAAGAGTCACTATCTTTTTATCTTTTAAAGGCTTAGCCAAAATTGAGTGTTATATATTTGATATCTTAATCCCTTTACTTAAAGTTCCATCCTCTCCTCCTTTGTAAAGACCTAAATGTAAGTCCCCTAGTGAACTAGTAGTTAGGATTTGGAGCTCGCTCTCAAAGTTACTGACTCCTATTTCTCTCACTCTGATTTCTTCCCACTGTAGGTATAATGAAATTCTCATGTTTGGACCTGGAGTTCACCTATTGTTCATTTCATATCAAAAATGCTGAATGGCTCAATGATCAAAATTGAGAAGGCTATAATTCGTACAAAATGCTACAAACTTCTTCCTCAGATGGGGTTCTTGATCTGAATGTGTAATCTAAAGCTGCACTTAGCATTTCAAGCTTGAAGATTTAGCATGAGCACTGTCCTGAAATGGGACTCTTTGGCAAACATATGCCAGGAGTACTCAAGTCAAACTGCACAACATATGGCATGGAGTTTCTCTCTCATCATACATTCTACACAGTAACCACCTGACTTGTGAGCGTGCCAGAGAGATTTTTTAGAGGTCACTTAAAATTATTTCCACTAAATATCACACTAGTAAGAATATGTTATTTTTTTTAAATGGTTTATTCTTACCCAGTGGAGGCTGAAGTAAGTCTCCTTCTTTTTCACATGTCCCAACAGGCTGTATGTCCCGGGAATCGACAAGTCTCCAAAAATCATTTCTGTTGTCACTGCCATCCAGTCGTAAACGTAATCTGGCCCCAGTAATTCCAATAACTGTAGCAATACATACTGAAGTAACATTGCGAGGGTCACGAGCTTCCAATTTCATACCAACTTTGAAGTCATTTGCTGGTGGAATCTTAGACTATAATTAGATAAAAATTTGTCAAAAATGCATCAACTTTAAGAAAAACAGTTATGTTACCAGAATACCTGGGAAACATTTTAAGTACGAGTCATAACAGACAGTAACTGAGGTCAAACCTATCAGGGTCAAGAAAAAAATTCTCTCCAAACTCTCTCCTTGGTTTGACATGCAGTATAAAAACATTACCCATTGCTAGTCTTACTCATTTGCCCACATACCTAAATAGAACCTCTAAAATTCACCTTGAGGGGCTTTCTGAAGTAAGAATGCAATTAGGCTGTTCCTCTTAGAAAAAACCTACTAGCAGATCATCGTTGCCTATGATAAAGTCCAGCTGCTCAGCACAGTTTAAATGTTCCCACACCTTTAACCTCACTTCCACACTATCACTTCCATCCTCTTTGTGCTTCAAGCTACCCCAGGCTATCCCTCAATATTCAGATTCTTTCACACCCAGGTGCCTTGCCTCTGCCTCCCCCTCTTCCCAACAATCTCAAATAGAATGTCTTCTATTATCCTTCCCGGTATAAAGGTATCACACTTCTCATAATTATTTATTTACAAGTTTATCTTTCCCTCCAGATGGGTAATCATAAGGGCTTAGTATACCTGACATAAGAATAAATTATTTTTATTTTTGGGGGGATTGAACTCAGAGGCACTCAACATCTGAGCCACACCCCCAGCCCTACTTTGTATTTTAATTAGAGAGGGTCTCACTGAGTTGCTAAGCACATCGCTGTCGCTGAGGCTGGCTTTGAACTTGTGATCCTTCTGACTCAGCCTCCCAAGGTGCTGGGATTACAGGCCTGTGCCTGGTTTACATTAATATAAAAAACATCTACAAAATTTTGGCATACCTGTCTGAAGCATTCTGCAGGAGCACTTAAAGATCCAGTCTCTTTCAAATATTTGTCCCACTGAAAATCATCTGGAGAAAACACATGTGCAAAACAGGGGTGAATGAATATACATATACATACATATATATATATATACATATGGTATGCATAGTAGTTTTCAGAACCATCTGTTTTTTAGTTAGAAAACTCTTTAAAAACAAATACTTCCTAAAGAGCAGATTCAAACATCCTGATCTACATTTGATTAGCAGCATGGAAATAAAAAACAAGACAATTTCCTAATAATAATGGCTCTGATACAACCCAGGTCCTTTCAATGTATTGAGAAGTAAAGCACAGTGATTTAAAAAATGTCATTAGAAACAAAGGAATTTTTGTAGAGTAATACGAAGTTTATTCATCTACTTCAGATATGAATTTATTCAAGAAACATGTTTATACCATTTCATCCCATGAATGGGAAGGCACTTTGTTCTTCATGGGGAGCCGAAGGTGTGTAAGTATGTGGTCCAACAGAATTTTGCTCTTATAATGTTTCATGGAAAGAAAAAATTCTGAGAACCAGAGTAGTTTCTCAAAGGACTATTAGATCCAAAGTGCCAAGAAAATGTTAGTAGAGCAAAGCAGTTAGCTAATCATTAGTGTAGTCAGGTATACAGATTATTTTAATGATCTACATTTTCTACAAACTCTTAATGTCTACCCCTCCCCATTAATAACATATCATAATTCCAGAGAAGATCAAAAAACAGTGTACTTAGCTGGCTTGAAACAATGTATGTTGCCTGACTAGTTAGACTTATCAAAGGATAAATTTTATCTCTAAGTAAAACCAAAGTAAAAATTTCAGAATAAAATATAAGCTTTGACCTTTTCTATTGCTTAGCTTTTATATTTACAAGTTTATTGTACATATTGTACCAAAAGCAATAAGAGTTTATTTTAATACTAAGTAAGAAACAAAACCATGTTGTATTAAACTACTTTAAAACCTACCATTTTGCACAGATGATGTGCTTGAGTGAGGAGTTTTCTCTTGACTCTCCTTCTTGACTTCCATTGAATCTAACAAAAAAGAGAAAATAGTCAGCAATACCAAAAAAACCACATAGTTTTACGTTGAAACAATATCTTTATTTTACATTTATGTGGTGCTGCGGATCAAACCCAGTGCCTCGTGCATGCTAGGCGAGGGCTCTACCACTGAGCCACAACCCCAGCCCATGAAGTTATTCTTAATAGTAAGTTGTATTTTTTATAACTTCCTCATCTTCTGCATAGGTCTTACTATTTTCTAATAGTAAGTTTTAACTTTTATGACTAATACCCTCATCTTCTACATAGTTCTTACTATTCACTTTATAATTTGCTCACTTCATTTTGTTTACTGTATGTCTCACTCTACTCAAATGAAAGCGCCATAAGGGATTTATTTTGCCTGTCTTGTTCACTAAAACAGGAACTGGCATGCAGAATAAGCAAACATTTGTTATGAATGTTATAAACCAAAACGAGCTGATCCTTATAATGTATAAACTAATATATCCTAATACATTAGGCCCTGGGTTCAATTCCCTGAACCACAAAAATAAAATTGCAAAAAAAAAAAAAAAAAACCTTTCCAAATCAAAGTTACAAGTCCTAGAAATAAAGTGTATGCTTCTGAGTATTCAAAATATCACAGGGAATCTAGAATGCAAGGTAATTTGATGAACTAGGCAGTTTTTCCTCTGTCTTAAGCTAAAGGTCTCAAATAGCCCTGGATCCTTGAGACCTCACCAAATCTAAGATACATCATTTCATCCACAGATATTAAAGTATCTCTGAAAGGACTTAAAAAAACTGAAGCATAATACTGCCATTATACCTTAAATATTAGTTAAAATGCCTTCTATCATCAAATAACCAGTAGGTGTTCGTATTTCTCCAACTGCTTCGATTATTATAAGTGTATGTATGTTGGAATCACTCAATGTTCCCATATAGCAATGGTTGATATCTCCCTATATCCTTTTGATCTGTAGGCTCCTTCTCCTCCTCTTTTTTACCTTTCCCTTGTAATGTTTTTACTGTTCTTGATGGCAATAAACTAGCTAGTCCTTTAGAGTTTTCTAATTAGAATTTTGCTCACTCCTTTCCCCTAGTATTGTGTTCTTCTGGTCCTAGTAAACAGCCATGGATGGGTATTCCTAGACATTAGTTTATTAGTGGCTACAAAATGGAGGGATTCTAATTCTAGCATTCATTCTTGATTATCCAGAAAACATGTTTTTGTGTGTGGTAATAGGGACTGAGCCCAAGGATGCTTTACCACTGAGCTATATCCCCAGCCCTTTTATTTTTTGAGACAGGATCTCCCTAAACTGCTGAAACTAGCCTTGAACTTGTGATCCTCCTGCCTGTCTCCCAAATTACTGGGATTATAGTCATGTGTCACTGAGCCCAGAATATCCAGAAAACTTCTGTAGAGAGAAACTTCCTCTCTTCAACCACTCAGTTACACTGAGGTACAGATCACAAAGGGAAGACACAATTAACATATTATTTTTTTCTTTATTCTTGAGTTTTCAAAATGATAAATTGGATCTCTAGCAATCTCCATGGATGACCAACAGATACCTTCATTTCATTTGTTTTTATATGGTGCTGAGAATCGAACCCAGGGCCTCACACATGCTAGGCGAGTGTTCTACTGCGGAACCACAACCCCAGCCCCCAATAGGTTGTACTTGTGAATTTTTTAGTTTTGTATCATTATGAATTCATCAATTTAAACATACTTTATATATTTTTAACAATTGCTGTTTTGGCCTTATTGATGCTTTGTCAAGTAAGTAATAAACTTCTTTTTAAAAAGCCTTTCAGTTTTATTTCAATTCAGTATGGAATATATTTAGTCAATTAAAAATAAAAACTTAACAAGCAGGGTTTTTTTTCCTTCATAAATTGAGATATTCCCAAACACAACTGTGTATATATTCAAAGGATATGAAATCAGCATGTCAAAGACATCTGTACTCCCTCGTTCATTGCAGCATTTCTTATAATAGTTAACACATTGAATCAACCTGTGTGTCCACCAGCAGGTAAACGGATAAAGGAAATGGGATACATACTCACAATGGAATGCTGTTCAGTCTCAGAAAGGGAAATTCTGTCATTTGTGACAACATGGATAAATCTGAGGGTATTATATTAAGTAAAATAAGCCAGGCACAAAACAAATACAACATGATCTCACTTATATGTGGAATCTAAAATGTTGAATTTAGAGAAGCAGAGAGCAAAATGATGGTTCTAAGAGGCTGGGCTTGGGGAGATGTTTGTCAAAGGACACAAAATTTACATTGCACAGGAGGAATAAGTTCATGAGATCTATTGTACATCATGGTTATAGTGATTAATGACAACATTTTAAACACCTGAAACTTGCCAAGAAAATAGATTTTAAGTATTCTTACCACTAATGAGAAACGAGAGCTAATGCATGTTAATTATCTTTTTATAGTCACTGAACAAGTTATATACTATATCTCAAAACATCATATTCTACACCATAAATACATGCAATTTTTACCTATCAAAAATTTAAAAATATCAAATATGCAAATTAAACCTATCCCATAACAATATTTTGCTAACCAAAAAAGATCTAGGAAAAATGATAAATCAGGATGTGGATAACAGGGTCACCTGGGATGCTGGTGGCAAGGGCTCACCCTGTGCAGAGAGCCTCTTGTGCTCTGGGTCAGCCTGATCTCTGCTGCCATCTCCTGGCCAGTCGCTTAGCCCAACCACATCTTTGCTTCAGTAGATTAAAGATGACCTCTGCCTGGAACAAGCTACCTCTTCTTCCTCACCTGGCTAATTTCTCCTATCTTACCATGGTAGATGCTGGCATCATTTTCTTTAGGCTTTGTCCCTCCATTCCTCCTCTATATTCCCTATCCTCCCTTTCTCTATAACTGCTCAACTATTTTTCCTTCTTCATTCACTTTTCCTTATATATTTTTTTAATATTTATTTATTTTTTTAGTTGTAGTTGGACGCAATACCTTTATTTCACTTTTTTTATGTGGTGCTGAGGATCGAACCCAGGGTCTCGCATGTGCAAGGCGAGCATTCTACCGCTGAGCCACAATCCCATTCCTCCTTATATTTTTATTTGTTGTTTCTAGATATACATGACAGTAGGGTGTGTTTTGACATGGAGTGCAACCCATTCCAATTAGGATCCCATTCTTGTACATGATGTAGAGTTACACTGGTTGTGTATTCATATATAAGTATAGGAAAGTTATGTCCAACTTATTCTACTGTCTTTCCTATTCCCATCCCACCTCCTTTCCCTTCATTCCCCTTTATCTAATCCAATGAACTTTTATACTTCCCCCCCACCCTGCCTTGATATTGGTTAGCATCCACATATCAGAGAGAACATTCAGCCTTTTCCTGGGATTGGTTTTTTTCACTTAGCATGATAGTCTACATTTCCATCCATTTACCAACAAATGGCATAATTTCATTCTTCTTTATGGCTGAGTACTATTCAATTGTATATATACCACATTTTCTTTATCCATTCATCTATTGAAGGGCATGTAGGGTGGTTCCATAGCTTGGCTACTGTGAATTGAGCTGTTATAAACATTGATGTGGCTTCTTAAAGAAGGACCTAAGAATGATAACTTTCAAAGTAAAAGATCTACTTATTGGTTATAAATGGGGAACTCTTTTAATTATGTGAGTACTTAAAAAGGGTTATATGGGCTGCTTTCTGTTTAAAATTATTTGATTTTTTAAAAGTACATGCTTGTATTTACCTAAAAGTTCCACAGTAAGATTTTCTGAGAAAATGTACAGACATGACTCCTGCTCTAGAGAAATTCAATCTAGTTATAGACACTACCCTAAACTAATATACTTAACAAAATTTAAAGGACAGCATTCATTTAGCCAGAGAAAAAGTCACGAAAGATACAAGACTTCAAGGAGGAACAAGATTTAGCAAGGCAAATATGTGGAAAATATATAATGGAAAGGGAAACACAACACAAAGCGAAGTGCAAATGAGCGTGGCATATATACCGAACATTAAGCAGACAAAATGGAATGAAGTGATTTTTAACCACTTATACTAGAGTTACAAGATCTGGATTCTAATCTTGGATTTATCACAAAATATTGTATAACTTGTTCACTTAACCTCCCTCAGTTTCAGCTTTCTCATTTACAAAACTAGGATAAGACATGATTGCCTCTAATAGTTATTCAGTTCTAAAATTCCACTTCTAAGCACTTAATATTTACTGATTAAAAGGCTTTATTCCAAAAGTTCAGTATACCACACAAGTAACTAAAAACATCATCTTTATATAAGTAAAGTCTACCTTCATTTGCTGTTCGTCCCATTGTATCACTTCCTGGTGTTCTCTCCTACAAGGGGGAAAAAAACCCACAATTAATGTCTCCTTTTAGTGTAATACAGTGCTGAAGGGTAGTAGTTAGAAATCAGTGATAGAATCATTATTTCCATCTCTTCCCCTTGAATAAAAATGATCAGATTAGAAGATCAATAGTTGGCTGGGGGAAGAGGGATTGAGGAGTGATTGCTAATGGACATGAGTAGGGGTATAGCATTTCCTTTTTGGGGTGTTGAAATGTTCTAACATTAGATAGTAGTGATAGCTGTGCAAACTTGTGAATACGCAAAAAAAACTGAATTGTAAAAAAAGGTGAATTTTATAGTGTGTGAATTATATCAACTTAAATATTACATGAGTAAAACAGTAAGTTAACAAAGTTGGTATTCAAACTGAAGCCTATCCCAAAAGCCCACTTCTATCATACTATGTTGCCAAGAGGTAGAAGAATCATGACTGTGTTGGTTAAACTTTTAACTCCAAAAGTCAAGTCCTCAAAGGTAAGTATTAGACTGTCCTTCCACTTCGAGAGCTAACCTAGTCAGAAATAGGCATATGAAGAAAATACAGTATAAATACTATAAAAAGATGTTATGTACATAGAAAAACCTAATGTGATAAATTATACCTACCCTCCATAACTCTGTGTGACTGTAATAAGAATATGATTATGTGTACAAACTATAGCTGATTCAAGAGACTACACTCAAGCCTCACATCCCTAAAACTCACTTCTTCTGACATCTTTCTCTTACTAACAACTACTTTTCCAGGTACTTGGCCTACAGTCTCAGATGTTTTTTTTCTTTTTTCAATCCCACATTAGTCACTGGCCAACATACTTCATTTCCCTATCTCCTGCCACATAGGGGTTTCATGTCTTCATGAACTTCTACTTAGTTTGGTACCATACCTACCTAGCTTGTCTTGTCATCAATGTCTTTCTCTATCATAACCTACTTGATACATAATAGCAGATATAGTCTGGGCTGTTTTCTTCCTTCTGCTTCCACACTGGCTATGTAACTGAGCAAAAAAAAAAAAAAAAAACTTTTGTGGAACATATTTAAGGCCCTCTACAATTTCAAAGCACCTGCCATCTAACACCTACCACTATCCTCTGTAGTAACCAAAAAAAAAACTAGTTTTAAGCCAGGCGCAGTGGTGCATGCCTGTAATCCTACTGCTTGGGAGGCTGAAGCAGGAGGATCACAAGTTCAAAGCCAGTCTCAGCAAAAATGAGGCACTAAGCAACTCATTGATACCCTGTCTCTAAATAAAATACAAAATAAGGCTGGGGATGTGGCTCAAGGGTTGAGTGCAACTGAGTCCAATCCCTGGTACCAAAAACAAAACAAAACAAACAAACAAAAAATCCAAACACCTCTGTTTCAATAACTTATCATATGGTTCTAGCTATGTGGTATACTCTTTCCTCTTCTGCTTCTTGAAATACTATTTTAAGGTCTAACATAAATAGAATCTCCTTCTTGAAGCCTTTCATGTTCCTTTCTCCATTACCAGCATCTGTTTCCAGGTGTGATCCAGTTATATAAAGAACAAGTATTTAAAGAATTTTTTTGATGTGTTTGGTGCTATGTGGATAGAAGATACACAATCTGCCATAAAAGTGAAAAATCTACGGCAAAAATATCAGCAAGCAGTTATTAAACAAAACAAAATACAGGCGTTAAAAGAGAGGTAAAAGTGGTGCTTTGTGGAGAGGTAGATAGAACAATTGACCAGGAAAATACAAGAATTCTCAAAAGAGAGAATCTTTAGTTCCTTAAAGATGACAATTTCAATGTTAAAATGCAGTGAGTTATTTGAAGGCACCACAAAAAGTGAGCCCATGTCCAGTACAATATAGCCTAAGGATTCTTTTAAGGTAAAGATAAAATCAAAATCATTTGTCCTAAATATACCTAAATACACTTTGTTTCACTATAGACAGCCTTTATCATTCTTCACTCAGGTCTATGTAGCTTCCATGTTTTATTACACTGATCATTAAATGTTAAATGAAATTATTCCCTTTAAGAGAATATTGGGGGGGGGGGGGGGGCGGGGGCCGTGGCTCCAGAGGTAGAGCACTTGCCTAGCATGAGTGAGGCACTGGGTTTGATCCTCAGCACCACATAAAAAAAATAAAATAAAATAAAGGCATCTACAACTACAAAAATTTTTTTTAAATTAAAAAAAGAGAATATGATCATGAATATATATATTCCCCTATATATACATATACATACACACACACACACACACTCCATTAGCACCCTGAACAATCCTGATCCCAAGGTAGATTCAAAGTGAACGCAAGTGAATATTCTATAATATTCATCAAACTTTAATAAAACATTTCTTTTCTAACATTTGAAATCTATACATTTTATTAGAGATTTGTTTTCTCTCCTAACTCTCCCCCATGATTCCTATTTCCAAGTTTTTTTTTTTTAGTATTTATTTTTTAGGTGGGGTTCTTTTTTTTTTTTGTCTTTTTGGGAACTGGGGGTCAAACCCAGGGCTTTGCGATTGCAAGGCAGACGCTTTGCCACTGAGCTATATCCCAGCCCTAAATATTTATTTTTTAGTTTTAGGTGGCACAATATCTTTATTTTATTTTTATGTGGTGTTGAGGATCGAACCCAGTGCCCCACGCATGCCAGGCAAGCGTGCTACCGCTTGAGCCACATCCCCAGCCCCTATTTCCAAGTTTTATATTTGGCATACGCAAAGGTGTAACTTCTCACTCAAGGTAACTATTCAAACTGTCATGCACTATACAAATAAAACTGTATGTACAGTAAAATATTATATCTTCCTTTTTATTAAAAAAGGACCAAGTCTTGGAGGGGAAAATAAATCCCTAATGAGAGAATGGAGAAAGATTCTATTTCAAAGAAAGCTTCAAATATACAAATGGTTTCTCTACTGAGCTTTCATACTACAAGAGCTAAACCATTTAAACCAATTCAACAAAATAATCTTTTTCAATCTCATATGTATAAGTGACTTTATTAATAGACATAATAGACATGTAGATATAAATTTCACGTATTAAGGGTTTATGCCCATAAGAAACAAGGCAAGGCCTCATGGCTTCTGAGAGCTCCCCTGCAGGATTTTCAGGCTGTTTCCACACTGCTGTTAACAGGTACCAATCAAAGCAAGTCTTGTATGATACAAGACTTACCTGACCACCTCTCCTCCTACATTATAAAGTGATAGAGAATACAGTCCATACACTATTCTTCCTTGTTGTTTTCCCACAGCTAGCACAATGCCTGTACTTAAAAAGTAGTCAAATGATCACTGACAGTAAATAAAAAGTGACTAAACACTTGTTGCAAATGAATACATAAATCTGTATAGTATTATATAAGTAAAAGATTATTTAAGCAAAAACTGTTTGGCAATTTCTTATAAGTCTACACCTACCGTATACCAAATATTAAGAGTATGCTACCTACACTATTATATCTCATTTTATTTTCATGACTACACTGTGAAATATATGTAGATGCTGTTAGCCTTATTTACACATGGGAAAAATAAAGAATTTGGGTATTGACATAGCATTAGTACTAACATCAGAGAATAAATCTTTTTTTTTTTTTGGGGGGGGCGGGGTACTGAGGATCAAATCCAGGAGCACTCTACCACTCAGGTGCATCCCCAGTCCTCTTTATTTTGAGACAGGGTCTCAAATTGCTGAGGCTAGCCCAGAACTTGTGATCCTCCTGCTTCTTGATTTTCCATGTGTAAATTAAAGCTGTTCCTTATCCTACCAAAGAAAGCAGCTGTCATCTACTAATAGCATTATCACAAAAGTTATATATTCTAATTAAAACCAAAAGAAACTTAACATTACCTTGGGCTGGATAACTTTGAGATAATTATTCATGAATATATTACTTCCTTTAAGATAGGAGAGCACTGAAAATAGTTTTTGACCCTTAGTGAACCAAAATAGCCTTGTGAATCCCTAAAAAATGGATTTTTCTTTTTTATACATTCACCATCATCCACACTCCGCCCCTCCAAATCAGAATACATATAAGTAAAAAAAAGAAAAGTCACCTATAACCCCATTATCAAATAATACCTATCGTTAACCACGTGTTGTATATCCTTCCAATTTTTAAAAACCACATATGCAAGCCCATATACAAAATATATTTGAACCCTTTTTAAATGTGCTTTCCAAATGAAATTGTCCATTATAAATTCATAAGGCCAACATTTTTAGCTAAAATAAAAACTGAACAATGAATAAATAAATGCTGCCTAAAAATCCATGCCTCAAGGAAAAATTCCACTATTCTCAAGTTTGATACAAATCAGGACAAGTTATTGCTTATTTTGCAATCTAAAAGACCGAAGTGCGTAAAATTTACTAGGATTTGGGGGTAATTATTTAATCAAATATTACTTTTTTAACTTTATTTATTTTTATGTGGTGCTGAGGACTGAACCCAGTACCTCATACGTGCAAGGCAAGCACTATACTGCTGAGCCACAACCCCAGCCCCTCAAATATTACTTTTTGATAATGCTGATCACCAAAACTTTTCACCATTTTCTATATATTTTTGTAGTTGTAGGTGAACACAATCTTTGTTTGTTAATTTATTTTCATGTGTTGCTGAGGATTGAACCCACTGCCTCACGTGTGCAAAAGCTACAGCCCCCGCCCCTTCTATATATTTTTCATGTCTTATACTTTACTGTTTTCATGTCTTATACTTTACTGTAGCAGTTCCAATATAAAAAATACACTTAGGATAGAGCTTCTTAAATTAAAAAAGATAAAAATATACTGGTTAGTTGGAAAATTTTATTACTCAAACTGAATGATTTCTCTCTGGACTTCCTAATAGTAAAAATGAAAAGAAAAACTTGGGTTATATTAATCTTCCTACAAGATAAAGGTACATACAAATTCAACAGGAAAGGCAAACATTTTCCTAAGAATGAATACTAGGAGGAATCTGTAAAGATCCTGATATT